CGCCCGGCCCCGCATTCCCTGAGGAGATTATCCCTCCTCACATGAGCCGGCCGGGAGGAGGGGACACCAGGGGGACAGGGAGGGGGCACTGGCACTGGGGAGCCCAGCAAGGGTCCCCGGGGGCAGGAGAAGGGGCAGAGCAGCTTTGCTGTTTGGGCTGGGGCCAGGGATTCCCCACGGACACTTTGAACTGCAATTCCTGGGGGGATTCACCCAAAAAGCACAAACCTGAGCCTCTGCCCTTCCATGGGGCAAAGTTCCCACCTGCTGGCAGGAGGACACTGTGGGACACCCCACACCTCCCTGGCCAGCATATCCCAGGGATCATTGAGGTCCCCACACAGCCAAGGTAAGAAATAAGGTTTGCTCCCCCCAGGACCCCCCTGTGTCCCTCAGGACCCCCCTGTGTCCCTCGCTGTGCTGGCTCTGGCACGTGGCCAGCTACAGGGATGCCCCCCTGGCACACCCGAGTGTCCCCTGCCACAGCTCCTGGGAGGCTGAGACCATCCTCCCTCTGTCCCTGGGATCCCGTGGGATCCCCTAATGACAAGGGACTGGCAGGGGAACGGGTTCCCATTGTCCCCACTGCAGCCCAGTCCAAGGGGGGCCAAGGGCACCTTCCCCCCACTGGCACGTTGGGGCCTCACAGTGCCCAAAGGAGGGTGACAAGGTTGGGGATCCAGCCAAGGGCAGTCCAGGGGGGGTGCTGGACAGGGAGAGAGCCCCCCCTGGGGCTGGGTCACAGGGCAGGACCCCCAGGGGTACCCTGGGAAAGGGCACACTCATAAAACGTTAAACCTCTGCTCTTTATTCAGTGCCTGGTTCCCCCGGCCCGTTCCCGAGCGAGCGCTCCGCAGGTTTTCCAGGGGTGACCAGAACACCAGGAGTGCTCGGGGAAGGCTGAGCAGGGCCACACTGGAGGAGGTGTGGGGCAGGAGGGCACCTCCTCTGTGCATCCCCATAGTCCCCGTGGGGACACGGCTCTGCCCCGGCCGTGGGGTGAACTCCGGGCACCGCCAGCGCTGGTCCCGGGAAAGCTCCATGGAGTGGGAACTGCCACCTCCTGTGTCCCACCCCTGGGACAGCGGGGAGGGGGCCGGGCCCCCAGCCCCTCTCCAGCTCGCATTATTGCTATGTCAGAGCAGCAGAGCGGCTGGGAGGGGCTCGGGAGGGGCTCGGGAGGGGCTCGGGAGGGGCTCGGGAGGGGCTCGGGAGGGGCTCGGGGGTTCGCTGTCCCGGGAGAGGGGACGAGGACGTGTCCGAAGCCAAGGATCCGCCGCCGGAGGGGGGGCTCTCGTGTCTCTGGGAAGGGGGGAGGAGGGAGCTGCCGTGTCTGCCCAGCCGTGCCAGGGGTGCCAGCAGCGCCAGGGCTGGCACCGGGCGGCAGGAGAGCTGTGCTTGTGTCCCAGAGGAAACACCGCCCGTGCTCCCGAGCCCGGAGCCGAGGCCGAACAAAGTCATTGCACCTGGGATGGGGAGGGACACTGGGAGAACGGAGGGACGGGCAGGGCCCCCGCCCGCCCTAGTTGCGCTGGCTGGGCAGCTCCTGGGAGATGAATTTCCGAAGGCGCTCGAGGTACTGGCTGTAGAGTTCGATGTCGTTGTGCCCCGCCCCGTCCACCCAGAGCGGCTCCACGGCCTTGGGGCAGCGCTCGAACAGCGCCAGCCCGTGGGAGAAGTCGATGACCTCGTCCTCCGTGCCGTGGATGATGAGGACGGGAGAGGTGATCTTGGAGATCTTCTCGATGCTGCCAAAAGGGAGGGTGGGGAAGAGAGGAGAGAGGGGTGAGCACGGGGACTGACATTGCCATTCCTGTCCTGCCCCCTCAAGCACATCCCGTGGGAGAGGGACCAGGAAATGCTCTTTGATCACAGGGACAGGGAGGGACAAGGAGCTGCTGCCAAGGACGAGCCCCAGGACAAGATCTGCCCTGGTGTGACAGATGAGGAGCAGCCAGCAGTGACAACATCCCCGGGGGACCTCAGCACTGCTGTAGGACATCCCTCCCCTGCCAGGATCAGCCCTGCTGTTCCCAGCCTGGCCCCAAAGGCCACTCGAGGCCACTGGGACACAGAGCGTGGGCTGGTGGCTCCCCAGGCACAGCTTCCACCTTGGGGACCATCCCCTGGGCCCCCCTGGCCTGGCTGCAAGGGAGAGGAGAAGGAAGAGCTCGTCCCTCAGCACTGCTCCTGCCACCTGCAGAGCGGGAAAACCCCGAAGGAATCACCCCTGGGGGACAGAGGGGTCCCGGGACTTGTAACACTCAACAAGGGGCCAGTGGAACAGCCCCAAAGCTGGTGGGCAACTACACTGGGACAGGGTGGCCAGGAGGTGATGCCAGAGGGGACTGGGGTGCACACATGGCACAGCCCTCGGGGGGGGCACGGTGACCCCGGGGAGGGTTATGACCCCCTGAGGGGAGCAAATGCCGGGCGAGGGTCCCGAAGAGGGTGTTTAAGCCCATCCCAGGAAACACTGGTGTCCAGGACAGAGCTGGGCTGGGCACTGCCCCTCCAGCCCTGGCTGCCCCTCTGCCCAGGGCACTCACTTGGGGAAGGCATCGAACCAGTAGGTCTTCTTGGTGTCGGGGAAGGCGACGCGCATGCCCGAGGTGAGCGGCGAGTGCAGCACGATGGCCGCGCACTCGTAGCGGGAGGCCAAGTCCACCGTGGGCACGGTGCCAATGCTCTGCCCGTACAGGATGATGTTCTCTGGGCTGATCCCGTACCTGGGGGGGCACAGAGCAGGTCAGCACCCACACACCTGAGTCACGGCGCCAGGAGATGACAGACTATGACTGTGGTTGGAAGGGACCCATCGGGATCACCCAGTCCAACTCCCGGCCCTGCACGGGACACCCCAGGAGTCCCACCCTGTGCCTGGTACAGCTCAGGGGTCGCCCTGCTCTGCCACAGCCCCACACGAGGCTCCCAAGGGTGTCTGTCCCCCTGGCTGGGCCCAAGGCAGTTCCCTGCACCCCCAGGAGCAGGGAGAAGCCAGGGCTGAGCTGCCAGGTGAGCTGTGAGGGTGCCAAGGCTCTCCCTCGCCAGGGGCAGGGTTATGGGGGGCTCACAAACCCCGGATCGCAGCCATGTGGGGCAGCTCCCAGCTCTGGATCACGCTGCCAGCCAGGGCAGAGGAGGCAGAGCCCAGCACAGGGCTGCACCCCAAACCCAGTGGGGGGACCGGGGCTGAGCCAGACCGGGAGCACAGCTTGTGCCGAGCTCGTGTCCCGCAGCACCCCCGCCCTCAGGGCCCCCCGGCCGCTCCTCCCGCAGCTTTCCAACCACCCCTTCCTGTTCCGAGCGACCCAGGGTTCCCTCTCTGGGGAGGTTTCCTGTTTTCCAGGCTGCTGGACAGCAGGGTTTTCCTGAGAGCAGCACAGACATCCTCCCTGCCCCGCTCACCGCGTCCGCAGCGCCTGCCACGCGGCGTCGATGTCGGAGTAGAGGTTCCTCTCCGAGGGCTTCCCCGTGCTCACGCCGTAGCCGGAGTAGTCGTAGGAGAAGATGTTGCAGTTGATTCGGGTGCCCAGCCCGATGTAGAAGCTGCTCATCTGCCCCAGGTCCACGGCGTTGCCGTGGGAGAACAGCACCGTGTACCTGACACCGGGAGACGGGAATGGCGCGTTATCCCGGGAAGGAGATCCACGGGAAGCACCGGCCAGCCAAAATCCAAACCCTGGGACACGAAGGGCCAACACCCCTCTGCCCAGCAAGGAAAGCCCTCGTGACACCCCCAGAGACACCCAGACCCTCCTGCTGCCGGGGCCCCAAGCGGGAACTGCAGCCCCCAAGGCAGGAGGATGATTCTCCTCAAGTTTCTGAGTCTATTTTTGGTAAAAAGCTCAGGATTTGGGGCCGTTTGCCCAATGGGGATTTCAAGTAAGAATTCTGACAAGCGGGTTTTTTTTCCTCTCCTGAGCCTGGCAAGACACCAGATGCTGGGAGAGAAGTGGATTGTGGGAGTGACAAGGCACAAGAAATTTCCACCATAAGGGGAAAAACAATGTTAATCATAAAAATTAACACTAATAGTGGATTGATGGAAGCTTGGCTCCTTTCTGCTGGAGGGAGGGAGCAGGACCCACTCCCTGCTGGGCCCCCCAAGCTGCTCTGAGGGGTCTGTGGCCAGGCTGAGCCTCCAGTCCTGGGCTGGATGCCCAGGAAGCCCCAGCAGGAAGGGGCAGGATGAGCTGTGGGGAGGTCAGACACCCAGCAGAACCTGTTATCCCAGGCTTTGGGAGGTCTGGCTCCCCCACAGCCCAGGTTCTCCCCTGCAGCCTGGAATGCTGATCCTTGGGGACACCTTGTTCCCAGGTGTGCAGGGTCAGCTGAGATAACCTGGCCTCCCTCTGCACCCCAAACTGTGCCACTGCCCGGGCAGCAGCTGCCCAGTCCCCCCATCCCCAGAGGGGCTCTCAGTCCCACACTCCAGGCTGCCCCTCTCCACCTTCCCAGCTCACAGATCCATGGGGGTGACCAGCAGTGGGATGTGCCCAAACCACTCCTGGGCTTCACTCTCATCACTCTCCTCCTTGAGGAATCCAATGTGCCCATGGATTAGACTGAACAGAGCAGGCTCTGGCTCTCCTGGCTGGCACGGGCTGCTGCCCCTCCCCACGGGGGACAAGCAGCCAGTGCAGCCCCTGCAGTGCACCTGGAGTCACATCAGGGAGATCTGCAGGACAGCCTGGGGAATCCCTGCTTTGCCTCTGCTCCTGCTTTAACCCCGTTCCCAGTGCAGCCACAAGCCAGACCGGTCCTGGGAGCTGCCTGACCAGCTGCCTCCACCCCTGTGCAGGGCCAGATCCTCCAGGGGGGAGGGAGGGGAGGGACAGGACCCCCTGGCACAGCCCCAGCCCGGCACTCTGTGTCTCCTGGGGACACTGGGGTGGGACCTGGTGGGTGCTCCCCAGGAACTCTGGGGCTCCAGCACCGCTGAAAGACCTGGTGGGTACTTCCCAAGGACACTGAAGGACCCAGTGGGTGCTCCCCGGGGACCCTTGGGGTTCCAGCCCCCCTGGGAGACCCAAGTGCGTGTTCCCCAGGGACTCTGAGAGACCTGCTTGGTGCTCCCTGATTATCCCGGTATTCCAGCTCCCCTTCCAAGCTCCAGGGGACCGTGAGGTTCCAGCCATCCTAGGAGACCCAAGTGGGTGTTCCCTGGGGACCCTGAGGTTCCAGCCATCCTAGGAGACCCAAGTGGGTGTTCCCCAGGGACCTTGAGGTTCCAGCATTCCTGGGAGACCCAAGTGGGTGTTCCCTGGGGACCTTGAGGTTCCAGCATTCCTGGGAGACCCAGGTGGGTGTTCCCTGGGGACCTTGAGGTTCCAGCATTCCTGGGAGACCCAGGTGGGTGTTCCCCAGGGACCCTGAGGTTCCAGCATTCCTGGGAGACCCAGGTGGGTGTTCCCTGGGGACCTTGAGGTTCCAGCCATCCTAGGAGACCCAAGTGGGTGTTCCCCAGGGACCTTGAGGTTCCAGCATTCCTGGGAGACCCAATGAGTGCTCGCCAGGGACCCTGAGTGACCTGCTTGGTGCTCCCTGTGCCCCTGGGTGCTCCCTGGGGTCCC